TGTCACATTGGAGACTGTCAGGGCTTTTCCCCATTTATAAACTAGGGGTTGCTTCTATTTGCTTTGTGTGCTGTTGGGTTTCTTCTCTGTTTTCCCTAAGCTAAGCTCTAAGCTAATTCTGTACAAAAGAAATACTAATTAGTTGTTTTTACAAATTGCTTGCCATTAATGCCTGATAATATGCAGTAAAATAAGGGTTCTGCATACTATTATGTATGTCAAATATTACAAACTTTAAGGTTCTTTTGAAATTATAATACTAAACTCAGTTCACTTTTGCTTAGCCTTCACAGTTGTTGGTCACATAGCATGGTCATCCACTCACAGCTTAAAAAAATACAGGGAGCATCGGAGAGAATGGGTAAAGTAAAATTTTGATGTTTTTAAAATAGCTCCTAAATCTGTGAAAGTTGATTTGAATTATTGTTTGTGTGGGAGGGAGAAGGTGGGTGGCACTGGAGGGGTGGGGGTGGGTATTGGGAAAATAGCATGCACCATGTAAAATGATGACAGATACCATCTACGCTAAGGTCTTAAGGTCACACCACAATTTAAGTCAGTTTCAGAAAAGGCAGGACTGTGAAATGGCAGTGTTGGGATTTACAGTGGTGCTTATTTTTTCCTTCCAATAGATTGAAGGGGATTTGGAGAATAGCCGTATTTAAGTACAGTTTGGATGGGAGCCGCCTTTTTGGAGTGTTATATTCCCTGAGTGAAACTGCCTCAGTGTACCACCTTAGGCTCTGTTACATTGCTGAAAGACCTCGAGAGGAAAAATATGTACTCTAGTTTTTATTGTGCACCTATGACTCAGGTGTTCCCAAATACAGGTTATAATTCCTGAAACTTATGAAGGAGTTGAAAAGACAGAGGGTTAAGAGAGTTTTTACTCCAAAGTCAATTGCTTTCAGTGAAGAACATTTTGCCTGCTACAGTTCTAAATCAAGTTTCTAACTCTAAAAACTGGGCATTGTAGTTATATACAAAGTCGAGTGAATTATTGTGGAGGTTATAGAGCAGAGAGACATCCACGTGTTTATGGGTAGGACATTTTGCTGTTGTTGTTAATGCAAATAACTTGGCCTAATCTCTGCCCATTATTTTTAAACTTTTTAAAATCGTTTCTTAAAAAATTGTTTTAAAATTTATTTTAGAGAGAGGAAGCAGGGGTTGGTGGGGGGGGGGGGAGAAAGACAGACATTGACATCAGTTTGTTGCTCCACTTATGTATGCATTCACTGGCTGGTTCTTCTATGTGCTCTGACCAGAGATGGAACCCACAACCTTGGTGCATTGGATGACGCTTTAACCAACTGAGCTCCTTGGCCATGGCTGTTTTAAAATTTTTTTTCTTTCTTTCTTTTCTTTTTCTTACTTAGTTTACACACTAGAAATCTGGATGGAAGGAAAAAATCACTTAAGAAATCAGGTTTTAACTCCCCAAATACTTTAGCCCCAGCTTTGTTTGCTTTTCCCGTACATGAAGCTCTGTGCCAAAGCTAAATATGATTCTGCCTCTTTGAGCTCTGTCAAAGATACTACTCCAGTTTGGAATATTCTTTATCTCTTCATTCCTTTGATCTAAGTCCTAGCTTTCCTTCAAATTTTGGTTTCTACATGAAGCCTTTTGTAAACCTCTCCAGTTCTTGGTGGTCATTATAGCCTTAGAATTCCCAAGTGCTGTCAGTTGAAACATCCATTTGGCACTTGGATCAAGCTGCACTGTATTATTACTTCCTACATGATTTGAATGTCCTATTTCTCTAGCAAAATCATGGGCTACTTGAGGGTAGAGAGCTTGTCTTCTCTGCCTCTGTTGCCCAGTATCTACCAGAGAGGATGTGTTCACGAACAGGCTTGATTCTGTGATTTTGATCCCATGTTAGTGTAACAGGGCAATTGCTTTTTCTTAACTTAGGTTATTTTTATATAGATATATGCCCAGAAAACCCAAAGCTAAAATACATTGAATGTATAAAATAATTCCTATTATAAGGAGATTTGGTTCTTTTTTTGTTCCGTATTAATTGTCCCTCGCTCCCTCCCCACCACACTATTTTTTTTTTTTTTTTTTTTTTAATTTAATGGGCGCTGTTTTACCTAGTATTGAAAAACATGGTTTGGGCCAGATATCGTCACAGAAACCAAAATTACCGATAGATTTATTTTTAAAAAAGTTTTTTTGTTGGTGTAGCTAAACTATACTTCCATGGCAAAAGCCCAAATTTATCAAATACTGCACAGACATGGTAATGTAACCAAATTATTTAAAAATGTTAAAGTATCTTAAGTAAAATTTAAAAAATACCAATAAACAGATACTCAGGTCCTAGTTCCTCTCAGCGTATTTCTGTATCTCAAGTTATTATGAGGTTTATTATTTCATTGTTTTAAAAATTTTGTAATGTATAGGCTGATTTTTGATAGCTGTGTTCATTGTGATTACTACAGTTATCAAATGTATATAGAGCAACCACTTAGTGCAGTGAGAAGGCATTTTAAATACTCTGGCGTTTATAGAAAGTGATTTCTTTTAAAGCTCAACAGGAATATTTGCTAAATTTATATTTGGAATTGTTCATATTTTATCTGACAGCTGTGTCTTCAGGACACATAGGTCTTAATAGTAGATTTAATGTGTGATTTCTGAAGCAAAAATAGTCACCCTACTTACTGAAGTGTTTGACTGGTGAAACTTCGGAAATTCTTTATTTTATTTTAAGGCCTGGCTTATAACCGTGAGCCATTAGTGTGACAGCACTGAAATAACACTGCTGGGGCGCTCCTGAAAAGCTTAGGTACTTGGAGTAGGGAGACTCCTAGCTGTGGAAGGTATTTTTTTTTCCTCTACTTAAAAAATGTATTTCATCTTTAAATATCTTAACATAATTTGGGTACAAATTTAAAATAAAACATTTTCTTTCTTACATGCCGGGAAGCAAACAGCCTCTAATACATACAGCGTTGCTATTCTGGTGTTAGCTTATCATAGTATCGTTCTAACGTGAGCTTAAGGCCCTCACCAAAATCTGAATGAAATAATATGTTTTAAAAAAATCATTTTTTTAAACCCCAGTTGGCCCAAGGAATACCACTTTCCAGAGCTCCAGCCTTGGACTTTTACCTGTGGTTGGTCGTATTCTTCTTTAGGGTTACACACTTGTTAAGTCAATGTTTAAAAAAAATGAAACACCCTGATTTTGTTCACTTTTGTTTTCATATACAAGAATCTTTACAGTCAACATGTACTTCTACATGCTGTATTGAAATTGCTGGCAGAGTCTATTCTATACAAACTGAACAATCTGGCCCCTTGTTTTATTTGTAAAGGTTCAATGTATCTATGCCTGCCTACTTCAATCTGCAAGGGAGTGTCAGAAAGGCCCCGCATTCGCCGAGCCGTGAGTTATTGCTAACTTTTCAGATGTGTTAATGAATGTGGAACAAAAGCAGTTGTGTTTAAAGGAGAAAAGGATCATCAAAATAACCTTTATTATAGTAGCAGGCGTTAACATTAAATGAATTATTCCAAATTGTGGTGTCAAAAATAGCCTACTTTAAACTAGAAAATAGCCTCTAGAAAACCTATTGTTGAACTGCTCTGAAGCTATTGGTTTAGCTATAAATTACTGTTAAAAATATACATTCCCTGGTTACAAATAAGAATTGTTCTTTAAGTCTTTTTAACCAAGTTAAAACAATTTGAACAAAATCTTACCCCACCTAAAAATGATAGTAAATGATAGTTGACTTTGAGTTAAGCTCTTCAAAATAAGACCATGTAAAAGGGGTAAAGTTTTAACCTTTTTTGTAATTCCCATGTGAAAAACCAAAATTAATCCAAGTCCTTGAATCACTTCCTAGAGGAAGGTTTTTGGAGCGCTCCAGGCGTCATGTGAAGGACAGCAGCATTAATAAGTCTGTTTTGATACCAGCAGTCTCGCTTCAGTAATTCACCAGTAGGTTTTCATTCATCAGTGATGGTATCAATGTAAGGCTAAAACGAAACACCTCCATTTTTTAGGGCTATCACTCTAGATAACATTGTTAAGAGTTTTTTCTTTTTTTCCCCCCAAAAAGATTCTAAGCAAAAAAAAAAGGTGGTAACTATCATCTATATTTTGTTATTAGCTTTTTTTTTTCTTAGAATCTGTAAATTTTTTAGTTGATAGGCATCATTAGCAGGTTGGATGCTTCTATTGCTTAGGAGTTGTATTGTGTTATGTGAAGACAGAATGAATTTAAATGTATCCAGTTAGGCCATATATATAGAGAGAGCGAGCACAGGCTACATAAAACTTGGAGATGTGGGACCTTTGGAGGCATTACAGTTAACTTTTCATTTAGGCAATGTGCCTTTGTTTGACTGGTGTGTAAGTCCTTCTTCCAGGTTTGTACGCTCTTAAACACGTTTATTCTACCCTCTCTAACTCCTCCCAGCAGCAAAAGGGAGACACTTCAGCTGGAACAAAATAGTGGAAGAAAATGTCGTCTGGGGTTCAGTGGGGATTCGCAGTGTGTATGCAATGTTTGCAAGATTACTTTTTGTTTTTCAATTAATGTAAATAAGTCAATCAATGCTTAGTGTCAAGTAGGGAACGTATACCAGTAGAACTCTCCTATTGGGTCTGCTGCCAGCCGCTTAACCTCTCCAGGCCAGTTTCCTCATCTGCAATGTGAAGGAGTTGGACTCAGTAATCATTACGGTCCATTCCTGCTCTAAATCCTATGCTTTTCTGAATTACTTTGTTTAACAGAATGAATGCATTGCTTTCCCACTTTGACTATTTGAATTACATGTGCAGTACACCTACTGCAACTGCATGTTGTCTAAAATAGTTTTCCTATAAGATATCATATAAAGAACTAATCCCTTTTGAGCTCATATATAAGTGTGTGTGTATAGCCACACATTAAAAGCTAGTGATAGTAGGGCTTTCAGATAATAAACATTTTTCAGTTGTCTAACCTCGAATGTTACTAATTTTCCTATATTACAGGAGATACTACTCGTCAACGAATCAAATTCAGTGATGACAGAGTGTGCAAGAGTCATCTTCTCAACTGTTGCCCCCATGATGTCCTCTCTGGGACTGTACGTATTTATTAAATCTATTATTTGATTATTGGCATGCTGTAAAAATGAACTACTTGATAAAGCCTTAATTCCTGTCAAATTATTATGCAATGATTTTTTTAAACACTGCTGTTAGAGGAGGGATTTGCATCCCTTATTTATTTATTTAGGTTGGTGATTTCAGTCTGCAATAATGGGATTCCTCACAAACTTAATTGCTATGCTTTGCTTTATAATTTCTTTCCATTTCGCAGAGCAGTTTTTTAAAAAGCATTTCTTGTTTAGAATATAGATAGTTACTAAATAGCAGTTGCACTTGTAATTCAGAAATAATACAAATGACATAAAATATAGTTTTCCTTACTGTTGAGCAGAGCAGACTTTTATACAAAACACCATACATTTTTTTGTTAAAATTTGTGCACATTTATATTGTGGAAATAATTATGGGGAAAATATACTAGTAAATACTTAAATTCACACAGCTTGATTTGCAAGTAGTGTTGTCACTTAAAATTCATTTATGTTGCTGAATCATCATAAAGCTCACTTAATTTAGATTCTATATATAATGATGTCGGTTGATCTTAGGGTATTATCATTTTAATTTGGAAGATAATCCACATGATGATGGACCTATTTAAATGGAACAAAGGATTAGATTCCCTTTGGTTTGGATTTCTTTGATTACATACTGCAAGAGGGTCCCTGAACAGGCTGCATCTGATGCTGGAGGAGGACTAATAGGGGCTAAACATTTAGATGACTTTGTCGTTTGCCAGAAATGGCTGAAATGAAGAGAAGGTTTCTGACTTTGATTTTCAGAAGTAATGAATTCCCTTACTTAATGATATCTAAATGAGTGGTTTCCCTCCTCCCCTTTCTCCTCCCTCCTCCTCTCTTCCCCCCCTCCTCCTTCATTTAATCTTCATTGTATTTTCTTTCATTACCACTTAGTCCGCTTAGAGTTGTTTCTTCCTGATAGAAAGGGTTAAATGCCCCAAACAGATAGGCATTAAGACACATAAAATAGAAAACCTCTTTTTCCAAAAAGAAAGACTGTTGAAACTATATTATGGTAAAATGAAAAAAAAGTGTATATTGAAATATACATATATAAAATAATTTTTTAAGTATATATACACACACATATATATATATTTTTTATCCTTACCCTAGGACATGCTTATTGATTTTAGAGCGAGGGGAAGAGAGGGGGAGAGAAACATCAGTTGGTTGCCTCTCTTATGTGCCCCTACCGGGGATAGAACCTGCAACGTAGGCACGCGCCCTGACCAGGAATTGAACCTGTGACCTTTCAGTTTATGGGACAACACTCCAACCAACTGAGCCAACACCCGTCAGGGCTATATATAATTTTTTAAAAGTGTAATACCACAAGGAAAGAAATCCAGCTTCTGAGCACTTTAATTGGTACTATGATAGATAGTTAACCCTCCTATCTACCCTTTAGAGTTTCCATAATTAAAGTATTTTCTATTCTATAATTGAAATACATAAAATCTATAATTATCTTTAGTATACTTTGATTCTCCCCATTTTCTCTTAAATTTAACGAAGTCATTTTATTTACTAGCTAAATTATCACTTCAACGAAATTTTGAGAACAAAATTAACAGCAGAATTTAGGTTTTGTTGTTTTTTGTTTTGTTTTGTTTTTTAAATATTTAAAAACCAACCGTAGCAAGACTTTGACATATTCTTCAGGTATGGCATTAGTAAAGATGTGACATTACAGTTGTGCCTTGCATTTTATGTTGCGCATAATGTAGTTATGCTCATGCATTTCTTAAAACAATTCTATAAGGTATATGATCCATAATTAGCCTTAATGATGGTGACTTATGCAAAATCATTCTGTTCTGTTGATTTAAAGTAAACCTGGGACGAAAGCTAAATTTTCTGAGCTGTAGTGTTATTCAACATGCTTTCTGTTTTGTAGGAGATACTCTTCATCATGTTAAATAAAAATGATGAGTGGACTTTCCTTGTAAAATTCTTGCTGTTGGATTTATAAGATGCACAGTTTTTCAAATTTTAACATATCTGAAATGTGCATCTTACATTGTTGATAGAAAAATACACTCTAAATTGATAACATTTTCCTCACAATAGAGAATTTAATGATGAGGCTTAAGGTTGATGCTGTGGATTACAGGAAACACAGTTACTAAGGAGAACCCTTCTAAAGGCACTAGCCAGGGAAACTTCAGGAGAGAAATAAGTTCCTTTCATCAGTCTGATAAAGAGATTGTTGTATGTAAGGATGGGGTTTAGAAGTTGTGAACCTCTTTCAAAATTTAAATAATTTTATGACTGGTTATATAGGACTTTGTGAAATTTCAGGGTTGTCATAGAGTAGTGTCCTTGAGAACTTAAAACCATCCATAGTGTGACTTTCTTATGACCCTTATTACTAAAAGGGGCTATTTATAACAGTTCGTCCTATGTACAAATGGTTTGTAGCATTAGAGATGTGACGTCTTTAACAACCAGTCTTTGTAGAACAAATGCTTCTTTGGCACAGTTCATACCTGTTTATCTTGAAGATGTCTGTTTGTTTTTTTTTTCTTTTTCATATTAAAGGATGAAAAGAAATGAATTGTAGCTTTTGATTTTATACTGTTTTCTTTATTTTGTAACTAAAGATTGCCCTTTAGTGTTCATGACCTTGTTCCTTAGATCTGTCACTTCCAGCTGAGTATGACTTACCAGTATCCTGTATTATTTAGCAGAATACTTAAAATGTATGCTCTGGCTTTATTCATTATAGGTGGTTGAACTTTATATAAAGCACTTGGAGATGGAGAGTGTGATTTCTAAAAATGTACTTACTGACATTTGGCATGGAATATTTTTGGAATTCAGTTTGATGAAAATGCCCCTATAACGTTTTACCTTTTATTAATCTGGTACTCTGTTATAACTAATTCTTTAGCTAGTAAATTATTCAGAGGAAAAATGTAGAGCAAAAGATCCAAATAAAGGTGTGTGTAAATATATATCTTTGGATTATGATTTCTATAAGAAGCATAAATATTTCTTATAACTTAGGAAGTTACTGTTTTTCAAAGGCTTGAGTTGTTTCCCTGTTCATCTAGAATATTTTCTTGTTTTATTTAGTTCCACTTACTTCCTCCCCTTGGCACACTTGGTTTCTCCTTGTTCTATTCATTTCCTTTCAGATTTAGGCAAAACAAAAAACCTAAGCAGAGTTCACACAAAAAACCTAAGCAGAGTGTGTATACACACACACACACACACCCCCCACCCACCCCCCACCCCCACCCCCAGCACTTTATTTGTGGAACATAGCTTCCCTCAGGAAAGATAAGTATATTAAAGTGCTTAAAAATCTTTCTATCTGGTTCCTAGTAATCTGGGGAAAAGATATGTAATAGTAATAATTTACAGAATGCTTTAAATCTAAAGCAGAGATAGTCACAAAAGCTTGAAGTTAAGATCTGCAGAGATGGAAATGTATACTCTCATGAAGTGCCTTTCCTGAGTTCAGAGATGTCCACTACTAATTCTATTGCAGCCTTCATCGTAATATAATTTTAGCATTGACAGGTAGTGAGGTCTTCTTGTGTAAGGTCATCATCATTTCACAGATGGGAAAATTTAAGGCTCAGAGAAATTGTGCTGGCCACATGTCTCATAATTAAGGAATCACAGTATATTATGCTACATAGGAATATTAGAGTAATTTAAATTAAATATTTAAAAAAATTTTTTTAATTTTTTTTAGACAACACAGTTGCTTAGTGTAGTGACTTTTAGATGTTTCTGAAATGTCCTTGGAGACATTGTACCTATAAGGACATGGGGATAGGCAGTTTTTCTATTTCAGCCAGAATTTTGCACATTTAAAATATAGAAAATTTCCATGTGATTTTGTTTTAATGAGATTCTGCTCAGGAATAGAATTTAAAGAACTACAACTGAAAAATACTTAGGAATAGGCATAAAGTAAAATTTTTATCTGCCTTTTTGAAGTGATTGGATGGGATGTTATTGCCAAAAATTCTGACTGAGTTGATTTTATGGTGCCCCAGTAGTTTTTGGGTTTTTTCTGAAGTGCAATTTTTATTAATCAAAACTCCTTTATTGCTTCTCTAACTCTTTCTTTTAAGGCCTGGTCTAAAATCAGTTACTTGGGTGCATACAAACCTGAACTTTAAAACTGCTGAAGTCTCTTTCATAGTACGTATGTAAAAGAGCCATGAAAGTATGGAGAAGCAGAATAAATGATAAGAAGTAAACCTGCACAAAATTCTCTCAACCAGCCACTAGAATGTAAGTTTCATTATAAGGGCAGGGACGTTGTTTTGTTCAGTGCTATATCCTCAGCATCTAGAACAGTGTCTCCTCCATTGTGTTGAATGAATAATGAATCTACCCAGATGCTAAATAAATAAATCTGTTTCAAAAACTAACTTTGGTTTTAAAAAATTGATAATTGTTAGTGGGAAGTGTGTTACCTTTTAACAGATAAGGAGCTGGAGAGTATCTTCGTTTTACTGAGTTGCTTATCAATATATGACAGCAGTGGTTTCACATGCAGATGTGAAAAAATTAACCTGTAGATGTTTTAAACTTTACCCCTTCCTCCGAAATAGTTTGTTTTGAGCTTTTTTTAAAAAATGTATTTATTTGTTTTTTGAGAGAGGGGAAGGGAGGGAGAAAGAGAGGGAGAGAAAAATAGGTGTGCGACAGACACATCCATCAAGTTGCCTCATATGTACCCAACAAGGGACATGCCCCACCAACCCAGGTATGGGCCCTGATTGGGAATTGAACTGGTGACCTTTGGGGTCGCAGGCTTGCACTCAGTCCACTAAGCTACGCTAGGCCAGGGCTGTTTTGGGCTATTTTGTAACAAGTGTTTTTAGCTTTAACCCAGATTACTGGCATGAATTTTTTTTTTTTTTAATTTATATCACAGCCAATTTGTAGAGTTTCTCAGTTTGCAAAATACCAGTTAACCCAGGTTT